AAAAAAAAAAAAAAAAAAAAAAAAAGGAAAAGAATAAAATGGGATAGAAAGGAAGGAAAGAAGGGGGAAGGGCGATTCAGAAGATTCTAGAACCAGTGTCAGGATTCTAGGGTCTCTCCTTCTTATTCTAGTGGCCCTCCTCTTCCTCCTTTCTCTTCCTCCCCCCACCCCACCCTTACCCCCACCCCCACAGGGTTTCTCTGTGTAGCCCTGGTTGTCCTGGAACTCGCTCTGTAGACCAGGCTGGCCTTGAACTCAGAGATCTGCCTGACTCTGCCTCCTGAGTGTTGGGACTAAAGGCGTGCGCCACCATGCCTGGCCCTCCTTCTTTATTGTTTTGTCCTGTTTGGTTCCAAGACACCCATTAGGTAGATTCTGCTGGATCCTCCTGTCTGTCCAAGCTCCTCCACCAGGCCATCTCTGGAGCGAAGTCTTTCTCAAGCACTTCCAAGGACAGTTCTCCAAAGCCATGGAGGCACCCCCTGGTCCAGGACGGTCTATCCAAGAGCCCCTGAGTTTGCAGACTGCACCTCCTGGCACTCAGCATTCCTGGTAACCTTTATTGGTAAAGGAGACTCTCAACGGTCCCTCCCTGCCGGCTCTCCTCCCCAGGAATTTACAGGCTGCAGAGGTCGGACAGGGGATCTCCCAGGGGCTGGGGCCTTCCTGAAGTTACTAACCACTAACCCCCACCCTCGGTCCAGGAGAGGTGATTGAGATCCGGTTTGATGACTGAGCTCTGAGTGGGAGGGTGTGAACTGGGCTTGGGAGGGATTCAGAAGTGAAGTTAGAATGACAGTCTCCACGTGGGAAAGATGCTGAGATGGCAGAGAGCCCTTCTTCGCAGGGTGCCCTGGGCCCCCAGGTGTCATGTGAAGCTGGAAGAGGTTTTTGTGTTTTTTGTTTTTTTTTTTTAATCTTGAGTCTGGGGGTCAAATGCTCCGGGACGAGGGGCGGAGCAACCGACTGCCCCGGGCCTTGCCCCCAGACCAGCTCACTCCGAGGCGAGATGCTTCTGGCAGTTGCAAGCCCCGCTCCCTGCCCTGCAGCTGTTCTCCAGCTGCCCAGCCCCACCCCAAAGACAGCTGGGAGAGGCTGCAGGAGGGGGCGGGAGCCCGCCCAGCTGCTGGCTCTGGCAGGGTCGGGGGAGGGTTGTGACATGAAAGAGCCCGGGCAGACCAGGGTGGCGGAGGAACCTCCCCCCCACCTCAGTCCCCCTCCTGGTGGCCTCCTCGCGGCTCTGCACATCTGGGCCACAGGAGCCGCCGCCCCCGGTCTGTGGGGTGAGGGGAGGCCGTCGCCTCCCAGCCCTTCCTGGAAAGGGGAGGTGCGGTGGCGTCTGAGAAGGGGTGAGGGTGAGGGGCCCAGGGGCCTGCCTAGGGGGCAGTGCACCTGTGGGAACCCGAGGACTCTGCCTGTCCCTCCAGGTAACCACAGGAAAGGTTCCTTCCTGCTTTCCCGAGCAGGCCCGCGTCCTGGAGGGAGGGGGTTACTTAAGCCCTTTCTGGGCCCCCTCTGCCCCTCATTCTGCTGGGAGGTGGATGACAGCTGCTTCTACAAAGCCAGGACAGCTGGGTAGCTAGGGACAGCTGGATGGAGTTTTCCCTGCTTCTCCGGCTGCCCAAACAGGCTGTGGGCCTACAGCTGTGCAGCTGGCTGTTTGGGGTGGCTTTAAAGGGGGGTGGGAGTGGCGTTCCAGTCTAACTTACCCTCAGCGGTGTCTCCTCCATGTCTCAATCTGATGGGTGCACCTGGAGAAAGACCCCTCCCGTCAGCCAGCACAAACTGGGCCAAGTGGGAAAGAAATTAGGCAGCTTTGTGTTGGCTTCCAGCTCTTGGCATGGAGGATGTAGCAGGGCTCCTGACAAACCAGACAGTGAGACAGGAGCAGATGTGTGTCAAGTGTCTATCTGGCCACCAGTATCCTCCTGCCTCAGACATCTGTCCCCTCCCTTCAGCCCTAAACAGGTGCAGGAACCTGGGCGGCTAACTGTCGTCACAACTGCTCCTGGCTCTGGCTTCTAGCCAGCCTAGGGAGGGAGAAGCCATGGGGAGGTAAGCTTCTAAAGTCCCCTCTCCTGAACAGCACACGACGCTGGAGGGGAATGGCCGGATCCTTTCTTCCCACTAGGGCCCCTTCCGAGAGGTGGAATGTCATGGGTCAGCAAGGTCTAGATAGTTCACAAGCTTACACTAAGGCTCCTTTCCCACACTGTACCAGACTTCCTGATTCCACCCAGACTGGGGTGGCGTGGAGGAGGGGATGGACAGATGGACTAGGTACCAGCAAAGGCCTGCCTCCTACTAGCATGCAAAAAAAGGTGTGAGTTCACTTTAAAGGATGCATGCAAAACAGGCAGCTGGGCCAAGCATGGTAGTGCATGCTTTAATGCCAGCACTCCAGAGACAGAGGCAGGCAGATCTCTGAGTTCCAGGACAGCCAGGGCTACATAGAGTCCTTGTCCCCCAAAGCAACCGACCAACCAGGCAGCTGAGCAGAGAACCTTTCATAAGAGGACCAGCCAGTAATTCCAGCACCCAGGAGGGCTTAGGGGAATTTCCAGTTCAGGCTGGTTAGTCTTTAACATCAGAACGCTGCCTTGGTGTGTCCTCAAGGAAATACTGAGAAGTGGAGAGCCCTCCTCAAACCCTGGTGTCTGTAATTACCAGCAGATTCAGGAATGCAAGCGCCTGGGTTTTCAGGTGCCCGCTCCCTTTAAATCATACTATCCCTTTATCCCTTCCAGGGTCAAGTCCAAGGCTAAGGAACCCAGTGGCCCCTCTCCCCAGAATAGGGCCTGCTTTGTCTGAGCCTGCAGCCTGTACAGTGCCCAGCACATATCACATGCTCAAAGTTTGTGGCTAGAAAGCAGGTAAACTTTGCAAGACTCAAAGGTAGTTTCTCCTTCACCTATCTTAGCTAGAAGCACATTGGCAGAACCTCAAAGAGATGCCAGGGGCTTGTGTGGCCTGGGAGGCCTTCAGCAAATATTTCTCAAGTGAACCCAAGGTGAAGAGCAGATGTACTTGGTGCCTGAGGAAGTGGTATTTACAGGTCTGGAATTTTGTCTAGACCCAGGAGGGCAGAATCAAGGAAGGCAGAGCTGAGACAGCAGCCGTAGAGTGCCCCTGCCATACCAATGCCTAAAGATTCTAGGCCTGGGGTGCCAGTGGGTAATAGGCAAGGCCAGGGCAGGGCTGCGCCATCATGTTTATTAGAAGGTTGGATTTCAGTGTGTGTGTGCTCTAGACAGATTACAGAATAAATACCTGTCTCTTGAGAACAGAAGTCCAAGATTCATACAAGGTGCTCACTATAGGAAGGAGCGCTATCAAAATCCAGGTAGGACCCAAATCTGGGCCACCCTCCTCCACTGACCTCAACAAGGGCTGTGCTGTTTTATTCATTATTTCTTTTATTTCTCTTTATTATTATTAATATTATTATTATTTGCTTTCGCTGTGGTCACTATCATTGGCAAAGTTCTTTTTTCAACGTTCCTGGACTTGGGGCTCCTGGCTTTGAAAGGTTCCACTCAGGCTGAAGGTGCCAAAAGCTGCTTGAGATGTGGCCTTGAACTCCGTCTGGGAAGATGGTGAGGAGGCAGAAGAAATCATTCTTGGTTTAAAAAAATTAAAAAACAAAACAGAAAAACCCTCCACAATCTATAGGTCATTCTTTACTCCATCAGTGATCAACCTGTCCAGAAGAAAAATTGGAGGGAGAAGAAACAGGCCAGTGGGCACTGGGCCATCTCCCAGGGTAAGTGAGGAGAGTGGGTACCCCAAGGCTTCTTCCAGCCATGGGAGGTGTGAAGGGGAGGGAGAGAGAGAGCTTTAAAAAAGAATGAGAGAGAAGGGGGGGAGGGAGGGAGAGAGCTCAGCGCCTTGAGACACTGCCCACCTCCAGGGCCACCTGCAGCCCCTACCCAGGCCAGCTCCCACCATCACCTCCTCATCCAGGAGATGCATAAAAAAAAAATCCAAAAAGGCCCTAAATAAAACAAAATCCAAAAGGAAAAAAGACCTGGAGGAATGGAGGACGGGGAGGAGGGCAGAGAGAAGGGCAGGTCTCTGGATGCATAACTCCCGAGCCACCGGGGCTGGGGGAGGGTCCCCAGCGTCCACTGCCTGCTTGGCGTTAGCTTGTCACATAGTGTTTGGTGGACGGCTGCCCATACACCCTGTAGAAATCCTGGTGGCCAGGCTGCTGGGAAGCGTCGAGCCAGTCTCTGACTGCCAGGCCGGGGAGGGACTGGGGGACGGAGGGTGTGGGTGGAAGTGGGTGTGAGTACTCCTGTGAGGGCACTGTCCAAGGGAAGTGGCCGGATCGGGGGTACGGCTGGTGGCCACCATGGTTGGCCACGGAAGAACAGTAACAGTTGTCCACGGAACAGACGAGAATCTTGCGGCCGCCATATTGGGGAAGCATGGGCTGCTGGGTGGCGGAACCATTGGGGTACTGCGATGGGGGAAACACAGGACTCGAGTGCACTGGTTGGGCACCACCTGGCAGGGCCACCAAGTGCTGTGTGGAGCTGCAGGGCCCCAGGGGTTGCCCAGACTGGCCCTCGCCGCTGGCTGTGCCCGCCGCCCCATACTGGCTGCCCACAGGGCCGGATGACGTCTCAAGGAAGCTGGCCTCCGGGAAGGCGGTCGAGTGCTTGCGCTTTTCTGCCCCAGAGCTGTTCACACCACAAGGGTACAGGGGGACGCTCTGTAGGAAGGGCACCGGCGTGCTGAAGGAACCTGCGGAGAGTCTGGAGTCAGTGTTGCTGAAGCGCCCAGCCCAAACAACCCTTTTCCTTTCCCATGCAGGCTTTGAACCTCTGTGGGTCTGAATATGTGACATCTTGGTTGACATCTACTACTTTCACTTTCTAGCTGAAAAAACACAAACAAAACAGCTGAAGCTCGAGGAGGCGACGCAATGTCACTTGCCCAAGGTCCCACGCCAGAAGTGGCATGGCGGATGTGCACACAGGTCTGCCTGTGCTAAGCTACACTGCCTCTTGGACGTGGCGATGGTTCACCCCTGCCCAGAGGCTTCACCCTCACCTTCCAGCATCTTCCGCAGCTGCTTCTCCTTCTTGGCCACCTCGTTCAGGAAGAGCTTGGAGTTCAGGTGGCCGATCTTAGGGGGAGAAAGGCTGCTGCCCGTGCAGGTCTGGGTCCTGGGGGCAGTGGACGGGGTGTCTGCTGTGAGGAGGCGTCACCCGTGAGCCCGCCCTACCTCCCCACCAGCGGGCATGGCCCTCTCTGCCCTCCCTTGGCTGGGTTCGGGAGGATGGGACAGGATGGGACGGGACGGGGGTGGGGGTGGGGGTGGGGGCTGGGCTATCAGCTCACCTGTCCATTAGGATCTTCACAGACTTGGTGTTCTGCAAGGGAAGAACAGTCAGTCAGTGGGAAGGGAAGGCAAAACGGCTCCGTTTACCCAGGACCTGCTATGCTGGCCTGGCTTCGGAGGTCTGTCTGAAACAGGGCCTCATGGATCCCAGTCTGGCCTAGAATGAAGTATTAGGATGACCTTGAACCATCCTCCTGCCCCCACTCCCCAGTGCAGAACTGCAGGAGTGTGGCAAGGAGCCTAGCATATGGTGCTGAAGACCAAGCCCGGAGTTGCCTGTGGGCTCCACACGTTCCCACCAGGCACTGCTGCTTCTCTGCAGCCACTGTGTCTGGGAGAGGGCTCCACAAGCCCCTTCCTTTTTATTTTTCGAGACAGGGTCTCTCTATTATGTAGTCCTAGATGCCCTGGAACTCACTCTGCAGACCAGGCTGCTCTGGAACTCAGAGATCCACCTGCCTCTGCTTCTGAGTGCTGAGATTAAAGGTGTGCGCCACCCAGTCCAACAGGCCTTTGAAATCTGGCTACATCTGGATTTCAGAAGGGAGCAATGGTGTTTATATCACATCATATGATATATTACATATGATCCAAAAGGACACCACAGTCCAACCTAACACTTCTACAGCAATCTTTTTTTTTTTTTTTTTTTCAAGACAGGGTTTCTCTGTGTAGCTTTGTGCCTTTCCTGGAACTCACTTGGTAGCCCAGGCTGGCCTCGAACTCACAGAGATCCGCCTGGCTCTGCCTCCCGAGTGCTGGGATTAAAGGCGTGCGCCACTACCACCCGGCTCTGTTTGAATTTTTTCTACCATGTGAAACACAAAGACCATTAACTGCCCACGTCAGTTCTACCCAGTGTTTGCTGTTCAACGAGGGCCCAACTTTGGTTTTGTTTTGTTTTTTTAAGTTTTAACTTTAAAAATTCTGGAATAATAGATAAAGGATGGTGGACTGGTACATGTGAAGGCTGAGGAATCATCTACGACAGAGCGGATGACAGGTTCTGGCCCACGCAGAAGGCAAAGGCAGGGGAGCACACTGGGTTGGAAGCAGCTGGAACAGCTGTGCAGTGGCCCCCAGCCCCACCTTCATGAAGCTGACATCTTCTGTCTTATCGAAGAGAAGCTGCAGGGAGCCCAGCAACTTCTTGGCCTCCTGCATGCGTTCCCCAAGGTGCAGCGCCTGCGCCGCGTTCTCGCTGCAGAACTTGGCTTGCGCCTTGTCCAGGACCTCTACTGTTTGCCGCAAGTCCTCATCCAGCAGCTGGTGAAGCTTTTCAAACTGCAGCCGCACCTCTTCCTTCAGCTGGCTCACCTTCTCCTGGAGAGAGAGGCGAGGGTGGGCAGGCACATGAGCACGGAATGACCTCAGGCGGATGGCACTATCCCAACCCCCACTGCTAATGCTAGGTAGGGTCTGGGACCCTGAGCCTCCTGGCTTCTGAGGGTAACGTGTGACCTGCCAATTCCCCATGCCCAGCACTGGGCTCTGTGCCAGCCCCTCCTAAAAGCAGTGGGATTCCTATTCAGTTCACCTAAGAGCCTGCATCCCCCCAACCCGCCAGGGGCTCAGGGTCCGCTACCTCCACCAGGCGCTTGTCTGACTCGAGCTTGTAGAGCTGGTCCTCGATGTCCTGCTCTCGCTCCTCCAGCCGCTCCTGCTGCTTCATCAGCATCTTCTGCAGGGACACGAGGTAACGGTGGTGTCAGAACGCGGTGCAGCCAAGCCCCATACCTCCCTCTTGGTAACAGATTCTTCTCAGAGGTCCTTTGACTCCAGGTGACCTAAAACCTCTACCGGCCAGCCTCCCCTGGCCCTCACATAGCCCCAGGACCAGCTACTTTCAAGAAAGAGAAACAGAGAGGCTTCCCGTGTGTATTCAAACCCTGGGCCTTCTTCTCAGGGCAGGCTCTGCCAGCACGCACACTGAGTACTTGTAGACCCTGCTTTCTATACATCCCTCGTCTCATCTAGAAGGGGGTTCATCCAATCACCCCACAGCCATGAGGTAAGGACTGTGTTAAGAGCCTCATTCACAAAGGAAGACACCGAGGCCTGGAGAGGTTAGACCATCTGGCCAATGGAGGGAAGAGCTGGCTCAGCGCTTCCAAACGCCTACTGCTCTTGTAAAGGACCCAGAATATGGTTCCCAGCACCCACGTCAGGCAGCTCACAGGTGTCTCAGGGGAGTCTGCCTCCGCTGGCCTTTGCAGGCACGTACAGGCACATGCGCACACACAATTAGAAGTAAGTATGTATCCTGGAAGTTGTATCGCCAATAGGTGGCACACACCAGGTAACAAGCCAGGCTACTTCTCCCTCGGGGCACCATCTTGAGTAGAACACCCTAAGGTGCAGAGAGTCAAACAGCCTGTGACCCAGGCTCTTGGCCTCACCTTACATTTGCCCTTTTCTATGGTACAGCAACACAGCCCACCCCTTCCTTGTTCCCGAGGCTGAGCACGGGCCTCAGGACTCAAGTCCTTGCTCTTTATGTCCCTCAGTGAGACCAGGAAAAGAGAGACCCTGCTGCTCCCAAGAGTGATCTGCTGCCAGGCCAAGCTGTTTTTCCAAGGTCTTTCCTTAAAATTTTAATTCATCAATTATATTTATTTTGTGTGTGAGTGTTTTGCTTGTATGTATCTGTAGTGGGTGGCTGTTTGAGCCACGCCCTGAAGTACCGCCCCTAGTGAGGTAGCAGGTAGCTGTTACACCTGCCTATGACCTTGAGGTACATGCCCCTGGGAGGACTCCTAAGACCTGGAATGTGCTCTCTCTTTGCTATCTTGTGGTTTTGGACGCTGGAATGGACCAGGGCTGAACTCGCCAGAGAACAGCATTGGACTGTGCCTCACTCACCCTTCCAAGATTCTGTGACAAATTCCTTCATTCTGTCTTGTCTTTATTTGAGTTAATCCCCAAATAAATTCCTTTGCTCATTAAATATAATCCCAGTATGTACCTATGTGCACAAGGTATGTGTGTGTGGTGCTGGCAGAGGTCACAGCGTTGGCTCCCCTGGAAATGGAATT